CTCTCTCTCTCTCTCTCTTTTTTTTTTTTTGTCTCTCTCTCTCTCTCTCTATATATATATCTTACCTTTACATGCCACTATACCAATATCTCGTCTCTCTGTCTCTTTGTTCACTCTCTCTCCCTGTATGTTTTTGTTGTTTTTGTATTGTATGTGTTTCTCTCTCTCTCTCTGTCTCTCTGTTTGTCTGTCCCCCTCTCTCCGTCTCTCGCTCCCTCTCTCTCTCTGTCTCTCTCTCTCTCTCTCGTTCTCTCTCCCTCTCGCTCTCTCACGCCCCCTCTGTCTCCCCCAAGCATCCGTTTTGACTAGAGCACGCCTCCTGTGTTCCCCACCGTTTTCGTGCTGCCCCCTGGGTTTCCGTAGCCCTCCTGCCTTGGGCTTTCGCTTTGGATGGAGCGCTGCTGCCCACTCTTCCTCCTCGTTCTGCCTCCCGTCTCGTGCCTCCTGTTTCCTACTTCCTGGCCGCCTCGTGGATGCCTCCTAGCTTGCCTTACCAGGCGCCCGCAACTGCGCAGCTGTCGGCATGCCCGTGAGCCCGTGGGAGGATCCATATGAGACCTCGCCTTCCTCCGCAGCTTCAGACTGCGCAGCTGTCGCCATTTTCGTGATCCCATGTGATGTCCAGAGGAGTGATGTTGCACGTAGATCCAAACTTAACTTTTTTCTTTGGGGTGCGCCAACCGCGACGCTGTCGTCACGTTCGTGAGCCCCTGGTATGTCCAGCGGAATTCTACCTCGCGCAATTCCAAGCTAGACGTCTCCCTTCCTGGGGGCTGCCAGCTGAGGAGAATGTCGCCTTCTGCGGGTCCTTGTAGGTCCAGCCAAGTTGTGTCTTCGCAGATCCAAACTAGGTTTCGCCCTTCCTGGGGGCTACCAATAGCTTATTTGTCGCCACCTTTGTGACCTCCTTGAAGGTCCGGCGGAGTGCGGTCGTAATGGATGGTCCAAGTTCTTGACGCTCCGCGTATCCCCATCAGCTCATCCAGAGGCGATGCCCAGCCAGATGCTTTGATGGGGGACGTATGGGAGGAAGCAGCAGCACAAAGAGGGGGGGTAGCCGTCAATCCGAAGCTCTGGATTAGCCTGAGCAGCCCCAGGTATTGCCCATCTACGCCCTCGCGGATCTTTCAATCTGGGAGCCTATTGGCAGCTTATTTGGCCGTCTTGGGGTGATGTTGAATGCTTTTGGGGCTCTTTTTGGTGCCCTTTTGTGGCTACCTTGGGGCCTTGAAGCGCTCTTTTGTGGCTATCTTGAGGAAGCAATGTGTACACAACGGGGGTGTTATTCAGTGCGCCCGTCGGAACCTAACACACTGCCTCCTGGGACCCTCTTGGGCAGCTCCTGGGGCGCTCGTGGGCGATCTTGTCGCCATCTGGAGGCGAAACGGACAAGCACATGCTCTAATGCCAATGTCATTCGCCCCCGCCTCGGTTTAAACGATTTGGGTCCCTCGGGGGCGTCCCTAGGAGGCTCCGTGGCCACTAAGGGCGGTCTTGGGGCCGTCTCTGGGCCTCTGCGCGGCATTTTGGAGGTAATGTCGAGCCATTTTGGGCTATCCAGTGCGATCTTGAAGACAACCCTCATATTAAACCCCATCTTTGGTCATACTGTACGCCCTAACCGCTCACGCCCCCCCCTTCCAGACCCCAGGAAGTGGGTAGGGGGATGGATAAACCCTTCCCAGAGGTTGAAGAATGGGCTGGAACAACGAATTCGCTAAACCACCTACGGACTAAAGGGCTTGTGGGTCTAGACCTCGCCTCCCTGGGGGCTGCCAGCTGCGCAACCATCGCCACTTTCGCGGGCTCGTAGGAGGTCCAGCGGCGTGAGATCTTACAGGGATCCACATTGGACCTCGCCTTCCTTGGCTGTCAGCTGTGCATGTGTCGCCACTTTGGGATCTCCTGGGAGGTGCAGCGGAGGGCGGGCTCGAAGGGGTCTAAACCACGCCTCGCTTCCCCGGGGGCTGCTGACGGCGCAATTGCCGCCATTTTGGAGAGCCCCTGGGAGATGCAGCGGAGGTCGGGCGGAGGTCGGGCGGAGGAGGAGGAGGAGGAGGAAGTGGAGGAGGAGGAGGCGGAGGAGGAGGAGGAGGAGGAGGACGAGGACGAGGACGAGGAGGAGAAGGAGGAGGAGGAGGAGGAGGAGGAGGACGAGGAGGAAGACGAGCTGGGGTGGGGGGCTGCCCATCCGCGCAACCGTCGCCACTCGTGAGTTCCTGGGAGGTCCAGCGGAGTGCGGTCCACGGGATTTAGTCGGGCATGTCCCTCTACAGGAGGAGTGTTCAAACATAGTCATGAACTCGCCGGGGGACGATGTTTCGAGACATGTTCAGCTATTTTCGAGTATGACTTGACAACTGTGATGTTTCGTCGAGGATCCGCCTGTAGGAGGACGTGCCCGACCTACAAGTAGATCTCGCACTCCCTGAGCGGTGCAAGCTGCGCAGCTGCCAACACTTTCGCGCGAGCTTGCGGGGGGGGCCCGCGGAGTGCGGCCGCAGATGCTCCGCAGTAGACCTCGCCGCCCCCCCGCTGCCCCCGTGTGCTGCCAAGTGCGCAAGCGTCGCCACCTTCGCGAGCTCCTTGGAGATCCACGTGCCGGCCTGCGTGTTCTGCGGGCCTCCGAGCCAGGAGTCTCCCATCCTGAGTACTGCCAGCTGTGAATCCATCGCCCTCTTCCTGGGCTTCTGGGAGTTTCAGCGGAGTGCGGTCCTACGCGGATCCCAGCGGGACCTCCACTGCCCCTGGTATTGCCGCTTGTGCAGCTGCCGCCGCACTCGTGAACTCCAGGGAGGTCCAGCAGAGTGGGGCCTGGAAGGTTCAGCAGAGTGCGGTCACGGCGTAGATGTTTTTCGCCCGGGTTGGTTTTCGCCCGGTGCGTTTCGCCCGGTTCGTTTCGCCTGGGTTTGCTTTGGCCCGGTTGGCTTTCGCCCGGGTTGGTTTTCGCCCGGGTTGGCTTTCGCCCGGGTTGGCTTTCGCCCGGGTTGGCTTTCGCCCAGTTGGCTTTCACCCTGGGTGGCTTTCGCCCGGGTTGGCTTTCGCCCGGTTTGCTTTCGCCCAGTTGGCTTTCGCCTGGGTTGGCTTTCGCCTGGTTGGTTTTCGCCCGGGTTGGCTTTCGCCCGGTTGGCTTTCGCCCGGGTTGGCTTTCGCCCGGGCTCGTTTTCGCCTGGGTTCAACTTCGCCCTCCTCTTCCTCTTCTCCTCTTCCCTCTACTGTTCTTTCATGCTGCTGCTGCTGCTGCTCCTCTTACCGAACCCGACCCGACCCGACCCGCCCCGCCCGTTAGGGTCCGCCCGACCCGACCCGACCCGCCCGTTAGGGTTCGCGCGTGCTCGCTCGAGCGCGCCCCACACCTCAGCGTCCCGCCCGCCCGACCCGACCCGCCCGTTAGGGTCCGCCCGGCCGGACCCGGCCCGCCCGTTAGGGTCCGCCCGACTCGACCCGACCCGCCCGTTAGGGTTCACGCGTGCTCACTCGTGCGCGCCCCACACTTTAGTGCCCCGCCCGCTTCACCCGACCCGCCCGTTAGGGTCCGCCCGACCCGACCCGACCCGCTTCGCCCGCCAGGGTCCGCCTGCCCCGCCCGACCCGCCCGTCAGGGTTCACGCGTGCTCCCTCGAGTGCGCCTCCACACTTTAGTGTCCCGCCTGCCCGACCCGACCTGCCCGTTAGGGTCCGCCCGGCCCGAACCCGCCCCGCCCGTTAGGGTCCGCCCGACCCGACCCGGCCCGCCCGTCAGGGTTCACGCGTGCTCACTCGAGCGCGCCCCACACTTTAGTGTCCCGCCTGCCCGACCCGACCCGCCCGTCAGGGTCCGCCCGACCCGAACCAGTCACGCCCGTTAGGGTCCGCCCGACCCGACCCGACCCGCCCGTTAGGGTTCACGCGTGCTCACTCGAGCGCGCCCCACA